AGTTGTGTTATAGAAATGAGAACTAATTACGTACATAATAATTCTATTTAACGATATATAAGATATTTCGAAGCGTGGGTCTTATCATTACATCAACACCCCACACCGTCACCGATCTACATCCACACCTATCTTGGTTCGTTGCCTCGTCCAATCTTAATTTAATTTGATTGAATGATAATTTGGTTGTCATAAATACATGAGCAATATATCTAGATGAATAAGAGTCACTAGAAATATGTCAAATAAAGTGATTTCTTTTTACTGTTTCTAAGATTCTTACTCATCATCGATAGATTTCTTCGTCTGATTCTTAGTCTTTTATTCATTTTTGTTCTCATTTTAACATGCAAATATTCGCTAATGTTTGTGTAGAGGCCGAACCCATCGTACCACCACGAATTGCTCGATAATATTTATTTTCATAGGCGAAGATATCCGCATCCAATACGAAAAAAGCCATGCTCATGATATCATCCATGGTCAATGACTAATTTTTTTCTCAATTAAATTTTGTTCTAAAAATTCGAATAATGCCACTAGAGCACCTTGATGTGGGGTCATCGTATATAGATTTTTGACATCAAATTTTACGAACAAGGTCATTTGTTTTAGATAACCATCGGTGGCGAATTTTTCTAATATTCGAGCAAGATCAATACCATTAATAAAACTTATCTTTCGAGCAACACATAGAAAGACAGGTGATAATTGATCATTAATTCTTTGGCTGCCGACACAAGAGAGAGAAAAAAGTACTTTAGAAAATCATTACAATTGTTTATTTTTGATCCAGTTTTCAGGTTTGCATGAGATAACGTCAAATCTTCTGTAAGGTATGAAAACCTTTGAAGGCTCATGAGTCGAAGGGTTTGTGAGCATCAGAGTTTATGAAAACAGACAGAGTATATGACGTCTTCATAAGGATTGATTATTCAATATTATTAACGGTACAATTTATCATTCTACAATTAAGGATAGTTCATTGTACTGTATTAGAAAAGCGCTTCTTATTCTATTGCTAAGAATATATTATTCAATGCTATCAGCAAAAGGGTTTATTATACACCACATAACAGTAGATTAATGTCTGGTCTCACCAAAATGGTTGATTATTCGACGAAAAAGGATAGATTAAACTACGCTATAACAATAAATCGTCGAATAATCAATCTTCGCAGCGTAAAAAAATTCCATCGAATCTCGAGGAGTTCATGGGAATGTCATGTACTCTTCGAGGGTTTATGAGTCAAACAGGTTTACGGTAGTAGGGGTATATGAAAATGAAAAGAGTATATGATTTCTATTTTGGGGTTTATTATTCTATATCACAGGGCAGATTTATTTACGGACTTAGGAGAGGTGTACATGAGCCGAACAGTATTTAAGATAAGAGTATATAAAAACTATAAAAAGGTAGAAGATTGTCATTTAAAAGTACATCGTGCTACGATTACTCTAAAAAAGTTTATTATTCTACCACTAAAGATAGGTTATTCTACGTTATGATCACAAAACTTTCGTATTTTACACTAAGGATAGATTATTTTACGTTTAATTTCGACACATTCCTTATTCTAAGATCAAAGCTTGATTGTCCGATGTCGTCAACAGAAAGGTTTGTGGGTGTGGATGGATGTGCATCAATAGAAATCACACCATCATCCATACGAAGCCGTACACATTGACTCTCAACACCCACACCGCATATGATCAGACAGAATTATGGGTAGATGTGAATAAGTGTTTAAATAGGGATGCTTAAGATCAATGATGCCATATTGAATATAGTAGGCAGATCCAATAGTGGAACCCAGTTTTTAGGAATTAAAAATAAGTCTAAACGGAACTATGGTGGGATGTGGGTGTGGGTCTCAGTGTAGAACAGGAACTCACACCCACACCCACATCCTATTTTACAATTTCGGAATTTTTATTGAAAAAAGTTCAAAGATATATTAATGCCTAAATTCCATAAGACTTGTTGAAATATTACTAAGATAGACATGCTGCTTACTGAAACATAAACACTTACTATTTTTCGAAAACTCTGCTTGTGAAAAAAAAGAATAGATTTCATTGGACAAATATCAAAATCTTATTTTATTTTACCAAACTAATAGACTGTTTTTGGTCGTTGATTCAAATATTTTTTCAAGTTTTCAGTATTATGAATCGTATCAAATAATCCTTTGAATTGATTATCAAATTTATCTTTAACTTGTGGTAAAAATCGAAATAAATCATCGATTGAATTATAAACAAAAAGATCAGCCCATGATAATTCATTACCAACAAAATATTTGTCATTTTTACTATAAGCATTTTTAAGTTTAGTTAAGTTGTCACAATGTCTACCAAGATTCTCATTGATAAACTTTGTAACTTCATGCATATTTTTAAAATCCTGTTTTTCAAAATCAATCAAAGCATACAGCATTTCATTCATATCACGTTGAGTATCAACTACTGCATCCATTTTAGCGGATTCAAGATTGGTTTTTCCACCCAGACCTGTTTCATGTGCTACATAACGAGCAATAGTTAACGATTGAGTTAATTGAGTTTTATCAGCAAATTCTAACACAGGTATTTGACCTATTAGCATTTTGGGTTTATATTCAAGCCATTGAGAGTAATCAAAACGAATATCATTGTAAGGACGATTAGCAGCAGCCAATATGAGCCGAATAATTTCAGCACGTCCACGTATATCAAAATAGTAAAGTTTTAGAATATTCTTACTCATATTTACTTTACTGTAAGTATGTCAGGTACACAAATAGAAAATGTCAATGTTTGAGATACAGTTTGATTTTAAATATATATATATATGTTATCTTTGAATGCATTACATCAGCAAAAAATGAGACGTATGCCTATTTGAATCAACAAACGATAAAAGCCCTGAGATTTTCAAATGACCTTAAACGAAACAAAAAAAGAATGCATCATCATCGTTGTCATCATGATTAGAAATGGAAGAAAAAGTATGATGCTATGCTTGTTTTCTCAAGTACACGATACAAGGTTTGTTTTTGAAAATCAAACAAAACACTTATGATATTTCACATATATACCATGCCAGACGACTTCCATTAATCAATTGATATCTCGCATAATTGGAAGTTAAATTAATATATTTACATCAAAGTATGTCTAATGTTCAGTAGTCTGAGTTAAAATCTTCAAAACTAATGTCAAAATTATTTTTGGGCTTTTGAAAGGCATAAACATCTCTTCTCAAATCTTGAAAATTGTTTTCACTTTTTGAAACAATCGTTGTAATTCAAATTTATGACAATAAGTGAGGCACAAAAGAATTATCAGAGTCTTGTATGTCGAGAAGAAGAGGGGTAAAATTATCAAAACAAGCTAGTTTTGAAGAGAATTTTGTTTGATAAGCTAGTGTTTTCATGACATTTGAACGAATGCAGGCCACTCATACAAATGCTATTAGTTGAATGTAATACAAGCTAAGAAGGATCTGTATATAAATGAAATCGCCTCTTTAGCTTAAGGGGACCCCCCCCCCTTTCCCGCGTTTCTAAGAAATGGCCGAACGAAAATTTCTGAAACTTGAAGGGTAGATAGACCTCGAGTAGTAAAGCAAAAGTTGTCATGGACACAAATTTGCCAGACGTCATCTTCATGGACTTCCAGAGACCCCAAGGTCAAAAACTTGCAAAAAGTTTTCCCCCCCGCAAATCCACAGATTTCATCCGTTTGAGCTGAAATTTTTACTGTAGGTAGACGGACCCAATCGGGGTGGCCGTTTTTTTTTTTTTCAAAAATTCCAAATATTTCAGGCTGGAGAACCAAAATACTGAGCGCATTGCAAAATCTCTAGATTTTTTGGATCCTAAAAATTTTGCGAAGCCTGCCAAAATTGATTGGTAAAAGATATCCGGAAAAAAAAAAACGGCCAACCCAAATCACTTGAAGCCTCACCAAAAAAATTTTCAGGCGAATCGGACTTGAAATGGCGGAGAAAAGGGGGGTCAAACTGGTTTTTGGTACCCAAAAAACTGGTTTTGAGAAAAATGCAAAATAAAAAAAACTTTTAAAAAAATTTTTTTTTTCGCTTTTAGTATAGATATACTATATGCATCATAATATAAGTTTATA